CCAAGCGATCAAAACGGTGATCAGAAAGGCCGAAGAGAGACCCAACACAGCACACGAGCGCTCCAAGAAGGACCCAGATGGGCTCCAGAGGCCGCCAAGACGGCCCAGGACAGGACTCTCAGATCGCAGAAATCATTTCATACCCTGAGGGAAACGTACAATTTCAGCATCTCCGCTGTTCGGGTATTAGCAGCGTCCAAACAGCCAAAAAGGCGTCCGTTATCGCCCCAAGACGGCCCAAGAGACCCCCAAGAGAGCCTTTAGACGGCCTGGATGGCCCCAAGACTGCCTAAGGATGCCCCAAATGGGCCAAACAGAGGCCCAACACGCCCTCACGATGCCCCCAAGAGAAGCCCAAGAAGGCCATGGGAGGCCCCCATAAAAGCCATGGGAGGCCACCAGGAGGGCCAACTGGCCCCCGTCAGGTCCTCAGAGGGCCCAAGCTCCCCAACACGGCCCAAGATTGCCCCAGGACGGCTCGAGTGGGCCCCAAGCCGGCCCACCAGGGCTCCAACAAGGCCCACACGGCGTTTCCCACCGAACTGACCCGAATCCCGGGTTCGCAGCCACATTCCCCAGAAATCTGTTGCGAACCCAGGATCCGGTGCATCCCCCAAGAATTATTTACTTTCGCGTGCCCCGTTGCGAACCGCTGCAACATGACATCTCCGGCTTGGCATTGCTTTGTACTTTGCGGCATTGCTTGACATTGCGTCGGTTTGCTTGGCATTCATTCGCGTGGCTTGCCACTCCTCGGTACGGCGCAACCGAAATTCTTCGCCGTCCCCCGACGGCGCCATCTCCTTCCCTCCTCCTCCTCCTCTCTGGGTCCTCCTCCTCATCCTTCTCTTCTTTCTGCCGCTCCACGCCACTCGTCCTCCCCCACGTCCGCTTCCCTCTCCTCGCTCCCTGAGATTCCCTCCCTCCTGTCCTTCGCCCTCCACCCGGCGCCTTTCGGGAGCCCCCAGAGGCCCAGGAAGTGCCACGGACCGCCCGAACCTTCGAAGTTGTCCGAAAACCACCGCAATGAAGGTGCCAAATTTCCAAGGCCACTAGGGATGGCGCAAACGACCCACAGAAGCAAAGCCTCAAGGACCAAGGTGCATGGCGCGAAGCGCCAATGCAGTCTTGTACACACACACACACACATATTCCTTTCCCAATAATAAACTACCATACCCGTGGATGGCCACCACCTCGTCCACACATAACGATTTTCGGCCCCTGTGCGGCCCCCAAATCGTTCACAAATGCCCCGAGAAGGTTCGGAACAGCTCCTAGACAATTCAAGAGGTTTCGAGACGGCACCAAAGCGACCCGAGACGCCCCAAGATGGCGTCAAACTGGCCTCGGAGGCTCCCAAAACGCTTCAAGAGGGCTCCAACGGGACCCCCTGAAGAGCCCTCAGAAGCCAAACATTGTCTTAATTTCTTTCGCACGACGTGCATCTTGGCTCATACGCAGCTTGGGTGCTCCCAGCGGCCACGGCGGCACCACTGCCTTCCAATGTATTATTTCCAAGGGCCAGAAAGGCTTCGGAAAGGGCGTTACAAAGGCTTCACTTGAGTCCAAGAAGCGCCCAAGACAGCCCCGGGAGACGCCCAAAACACCCCAGAAGTTTCCAAGACGGCCTCAGCCGCCCACGACAGCCCAAGAAAACCTCTAAACCATCCTGGAACTCTCCGAGGCGCCCCAAAAGGCCCCAAAAGACTTCCGAGAGGCCCCCAACGCTTGATCGAGCTTTGTCGACACGCCCAAGACACTTCCCAGCAATTCCTGCGCAAACCCAGCGATTCCAGCCCCCCTCCAGAGTTGCGGCCTGCGATCGCATTTCGCGCGTCGCGGTGTGCGCCGCCGAGTTTCCTTCTCCGCTTTTCGAACGCCCCGTCGCCACGGCTGGACGAGGCTCGGCAGTGCTTTGTGATGCGGGCTGCGGTGCTTAGTCCCGTCCCCGCTGATCAAGGCTTACGTGGTCCACATATTGCCGTTTTCAGCATTCTTTGCACCACTACTTTGCATTCTGCGTCTCTGCCTCAAAAACTTACGTCCTGGGGCCGAAGGAGGCGGGTCACAAGTCAGAACAAGCGTCGGCGGGGTCACAGTGAACCTCTACATCCTGCCTGTGCCACCCGTCTGATTCCGTATTCGATCTCCCTGATTTAACGTGGGTGGTGTAATTTTCACCCGTCGCGCTTCTGGGCCCCAACATTATTTTCGCCGGCGTTGTGTTCCGAGGAATATTTCCCGCCGGCCCTCGCGACATACAGGCGTAATCGCCGGCGCCTATGAGCACATATTGTTCGTAGGCGCCGTCATCACCATTAGCATCATCATCGTCGTCATCGCCATGATCACAATCGACTTCGTAATACCAGTACCAGAAACCACCCACGCGATCTGCATAACCTTTCTCCTCGCGTCATCGTCACCAACACAACATCCTCTTGTTCACCACCGCCACACCATGGTCTTCGTAATCTCACCGTCATCGTGGTTAGCCGCGACCCTGAAATTCTGCATAATTTTTGCCGGCCCGTGGGCATCGTATTTTTCGCCGGCCCGAGAATCTGGTCTTGGGATATTTTTCGCCAGCGCAGCACCCCCCACGATGTTTGCCCCCACGACGTTTGCCCCCCCCCCCCCCCCCCCCCACGACGTTTGATCCCCCTCCACGTGTGGCGTCTTCAAGGGTTCCGCATGAGCATACCGCACCTGCGCCGAAGCCCGAAGCCTTTTCACCCACGGCCATTTGCCGCTTCTCAACACAAGCTCCCTCGCGTCCCGTCGGTCTCCGAGCTCGTGTGTCCCGCGGGCCTCAAAGGCCCGAATGCAGGTCAGAACCTTGCCAGTGGTGTATATTGGGCAGTCATGTCCGCGTCATATTTGACGACCGCCATTGGGACGAAGCAGGTCATCCAGTACACGAGCGACCTCGGAGGCGAAGAAAACCGTCATGAAGAAGCTGGGCAAGCGCTGAGCGCGCGCCGAACGTGCTCGTGCAATGCTTCGTTTCTCGACCGAGTTTTTACGGGGACGGCGGGTTATTTCTTTGGACTTCGCCTTGCCGTCGCCCCCGCAACCCCACCCGCGCCTGCCGCTCGCGCGGCGCTTTGTTCCAGAGTGGGCCTTATCGGAGAGAGCCAGGGCGAATTTTGTTTGGACTTCGCCTCGGATCGCCTTGGTATCGCCCCCACATGCCCCGACCCGCGCCTGCCAGAAAATAGTTGTTCCTTCTCCATATGTCCTGTCGCCCGAAGCCCCCGAGAACGCCTCCTTTCCTCTGAGGATGCCCCCAAAACCTCCGCGGCCTCCATGCCCTGACAGTTTCCCGCATGCTCACCCTCGGCCCACCGCAGAAACCTTAAGCGAGGGTCTGCCCTAGACCGATTCCCTTTCCCGTGCGTCTCCCCGTTGGCTTCCCCCTCAAACCCGCCCCTCTGCCCACCCTGGGCTCATTATGAGGCCTCACCTTCAGACACTGGATACTCTATCTAGGCTCCCCATAGCTTGCCCCGAGGGCCAACCCCGAGGCTCCCCCCTACAACTTTGGGTTTGCGCGGCCCTGTTCCTACGCTTTGTTCTGGCCTAACACATCGGCTTACGGTCGCCTCACCTCAGCGCCCTCTAGTTGGCCTTCGGCGTACTCCATAAACTTGAAGTTCGGCCTTGCCTGAGGCCGACCCTATTTCCAGCACTGTCTTGTGCGCCTCCAGGTCGGTTTCCCTCTTGGGCCCGCCCCTCCGCCTACCATGCATGGATTTCCTTTAAGCTCGCCCCGTGGGTTTGCATGAGCTTGCCCCTAGGGTGCATCCAGAGGCTTCACGTAGCGAGATCTACGGTGATCTTACACTTATAGTTGACCCCTGACCTGCCCTAGCCCTGCTCAAAGGCTATTCGCTAGGCTCCCTAGGCCTCCTGCTAGACCTTTTCACGTGTCCTACCCTCAGAGCCTCTCGAAGCGCTTGCCCTCGGCTTTGGGCCAGGCCTTCCCTGGGCCAGGGCCTCGCCCTGGTGTTTCCGATCGCCACCAAGACATGTTCCCAGAGACTCCACAACCTAGACTGACATAGACCTACCCGCTCCCTTCATTTCGGATCCCTTGGCCCCCTGCGAAGGCCTGCCCGTGGTCCTACCCCGAAGGCTTCCCCGCGCGTTGACCTTGACTTTCGCCCAGTCTTATTTGAGCTTCCGCCTACAGCCTCCCCCTAGAGCTTCAGACTTTTCCCAAACATGCTCCAAGAGACCGGGACCAGCGCCAGGCCCATTCAGACACGAGAGGGGGGAAGGGGACGTCGCACAGAGACATGACGATTGCCGGAAGGGCGTCGGCATCTCAGGCCATATCTCCACATCGACACGTGTTTCTTTTCATTGGGCCAAGATTGACTCAGCGCTCGATGCGCTTTCATAGCATCTGGTGTGTATATCTATATATATATATATACAGATACACACAAATACATATATGTATGTATCAAAATCTCTTTGTATTTCTATTAGGGAGAGTGCACGCTATGTCGTGTATTTCAAATGGTGCACGCTATGTGGTGCAATCTTTGAGGTAAACACTTGTTGCAAGCCATGCGGCCGACTGGCGTACGAGGCGCCCACGGGCGGGCATCACGCGAAACCTAGGCTGCCCCCACCTAGCGCACGAGGCGCCCACGAAGCGCGCACGGGCGGGCACCAGGCAAAACCCCGGCCGACCCCATCCGATTCCTCAGGGAGCCAAGCAAGGACCCCTGCATGCACACGCTGTTGAGGGCACGCCCTTGTGCCCCTGCTCGGCGTTGTGCCCCTCGGGGCCTCCCCCGTCGTTGCTGCTTGCTGATGGATCGACGTCAGCGCATGCGCCAGTGCTGGTCTCCACGCGTGCGGCCCAGCGGGCAGCGTCGTCACTTCCACAGAACTCCAGGTTTGGGGCACGAGCTGCATCATACGCACAGCCAACAGCAAAAAACATCCCCCAGCTCGGTCCCAGAGCGGCTCCCCTCAGCCAG